GGAGGAGGGGGAGGACCGGGGAGACGAGGAGGGGGAGCACGTCTGGGCGAGGCAAAAACAGGGGCGGCATCATGTGGGGCAACCTCGGGATGAAGAAAGTGGGAACGGAGAGGGGAGGGGGCCGCGGGGCGGGGAGCAGCGTGCCGGGGCCGCCCTGGAGGGGCCTTCTGTTTGGTACGATTTCTGGGGCAGACCAAGCACACGCGGGTACTCAGAGACACGGGCCCCACTTAGCCTGCCGTGACCCCGGGTCACCGACCACCACCGACAAGACCCCTGCCCAGCGCGGAGGCCTGGCCCTCGGGCCCAGCAGCTGCCGGGAGCGGTGGTTTGGAAGTTTGGAGCCGCAGAGAATCAATCGCTGCACCCGGTGAGCATGGCTCAGGGCCCAGCACTCAGCCTGTTGTCTTCTTAATGAGAGAGAGCTGTTTCTCATCCTCGTCCCGAAAGCCGGGCAGAGTGGGTGCTATGGATCTCCCGCCAGACCTTCCTGAACGCTCCCTCTGCCTCGGGCGGACACCGCCAGGACACCGCGGCCGGCCGGCCGGAGGCCTGGCCGTGCGGAGCAGTTCGGGGCGATGGCGCCCAGCTCAGGGGGAGGTGGGGCTGGGCCATCGGGGGAGGCTGTGCTGCCGCTGACAGCAAAGGCACCGGCCGGTGGGTCAGGCAGAAGGATTGGGCTTCCTTGCGGGCACAGTAGGTCCACAGGGGCTGGGTGGTGGGTGGACTTCTGTCTGGTTTCTTCAACCAACAGCCGGTGCCCAGGAGAGCCAGGCCCTGTGGCCCCCGTGCCCTTCCCACCTCCGCTCGGAGAAGAGCGGGTTCTCCCCTCAAAACAGAGCTCTCCGCCCAGGGGAGGAGGGGCCGCGTGCCTGGAGGGCATCGCCCAACGCAAGGGACGAGGGTGGCCGCCACACATCCCGTGGGCCGTGCAGGGCCTCGGCCTGTGCTTAGCGGTGCCCCCGGCCAGCGGGGAGCCTGACCGGGTCCCACACCGCGAGACGGCCGCCTTCTGGGCGGGACACCAGGTGGTTCAGTGGTGTGTGCTCCTGGGGATCTTTATCTGCTCCTTCCTGCCCATTGCAGTCTCGCTCGAATTTTTAATCTTTGGACTATCTGGCTCTAGGCCTGGGAGTTGGAAACCCGGGGAATCCAGGACCCCGCTGAGAAACGAGGTTTCCATGGTTCTGTGGGGTTATTTTCTGGAGTTTGGGGGCTGCGGGAAAGTGGCCAGCGTGGGCGCGTGATTCAGGCTCACCAGGAGCAGATGGCTGTGCGCCTGGGCCCACCCGGAGCTGGGGGCGGGGGGAGTGTGGGGAGTTTGGTTTCAGACACGCAGGCGCCAGGTGTCCTGTGTGCCAGGTTCCGCTTCTTAGGAGAGCGCCTCCCGGTCTGGAATGAGAACTACTCTCTCCCGCCTGCTTCCGCCGTTTCCTCTTCCAGGGAGTGCTCAGGCCTCACCCGACAGTCTGACCCAGACCACTGGCGGCCGCTGGGGCAGCAGAGCTGACTGTCCCGGTGTGTTCCCTGTCACTGCCGGTCCGCGTCCCTCCACACAGACACCGCCCCCGAACAGACAGACCCGCCCCCGGACAGACCCGCCCCCGGACAGACAGACACCGCCCCGGACAGACACCGCCCCGGACAGACAGACATCGCCCCTGGACAGACACTGCCCCGGACAGACAGACACCGCCCCGGACAGACAGACACCGGACAGACACCGCCTCGAACAGACAGACCCGCCACCGGACAGACAGACACCGACCCGGACAGACAGACACCGGACAGACACCGGGCAGACCCGCCCCCGGACAGACCCGCCACCGGACAGACAGACACCGCCCCGGACAGACCACCCCTGGACAGACACCGGACAGACCTGCCCCCGGACAGACCCACCACCGGACAGACCTGCCCCTGGACAGACACCGCCCCGGACAGACCGCCCCTGGACAGACAGACACCGCCCCCGGACAGACCGGCCACCGGACAGACCCGCCCCTGGACAGACACCGCCCCTGACAGACAGACATCGCCCCCGGACAGACCGGCCACCGGACAGACCGCCCCTGGACAGACACCGGACAGACCCGCCACTGGACAGACACCGCCCCGGACAGACCGCCCCTGGACAGACAGACACCGCCCCGGACAGACCGCCCCTGGACAGACAGACACCGCCCCCTGACAGACCGGCCACCGGACAGACAGACACCGACCCGGACAGACCGCCCCTGGACAGACCGCCCCTGGACAGACACCGGCCAGACCTGCCCCCGGACAGACAGACACCGCCCCGGACAGACCACCCCTGGACAGACACCGGACAGACCCGCCCCTGGACAGACACTCGCCCCCGGACAGACCGGCCACCGGACAGACAGACGTCCACCGGACAGACACCGCCACCGGACAGACCCGCCCCTGGACAGACACCGGACAGACGCGCCTGCCTCCTTCGTTGTCACAGAGTGGCCCTGCCCTGGACTCAGAGTCGCAGCCTCTATTTATGTGGAGAAATGTTTTTCTAAATTTTACCTCGCTGCTTTTCATTTGTATTTAACTGTTTGCTTTACATTCAGGGAAAATACATGAAAAGGAGGCGAAATATGCAACATTTTCCATGAACCAAACTTAGATTACATTTGGCCCCCGGTGAAATAGCGAAGTAGTGGATTTTAATTACTTCTGTCCCCACGGGCTTCCCCCACCCTAACTCCTTACATTTCTCCTCAGGCTGCAACCACTAATTTGCAAGTGGAGTCCCTTGCTCGCCACGGAACCACCGCCGGCGAGATCAGGCAGCGCCTTTTAGCCGAGCCGGTGAGGAAAGGCTTCCCCCGGGTCGGGCATCAGCGGGAGGGAGTGAGGGTCCGGGCCTCCCTCCGCTCCGCGGGCCCGGCAGCTCCCCCCCTGTCCCTGGACCCCTGCCTCCGGCGCAGACAGGCTGCTCTGCATCTTACCGGGCAGCTCCCAGGCCCTACTTCCCACCCCCAGGTTGATCAGAAACCGGTTTTTTTTTTACTGGAAACAAGCAGCTCATGGATCCACGGGCAGCATCACAGGGCACATGGCGTTTCTTCCTGAATAGATCCCGAGGCCTCGGAAGTCCCCCTCTGCCCGCCGTGGTTCCTCTACCGCTTCCGCTAACGGCTCCTTTGGGGGCCGCGAGTCTAAATATAAAGCGTGACGCTCAGCGGCGTAAGCGGCTTCCTCCCGAAAGCTGCCCACGCTGTTAGCACGGATGGAAATGGCTCGTGGTGTGCAGCCGTTAAAAAGTCTCTAGTGCTCAGCCCCCATGAAATGGATTGCTTATGGGGAGATAATGTCTGTTCTATTCCTTTTTAAGTCTGTGAAAAATGTCATCCCGGTTAATAGGGTGATTAAAACTCTTTATGCTCCGGGAGATAAATGTGATTATGTTTGTCATACTCCGCCCGAGATAAAGACAGCAGAGGCAAACTTGAAATTCCATAACATTGCCTCTCCCGTAGCCAGGAACATTCAGAACTCAATACACAGATGGTACTTCACATAAAGAATAACATTATCTGTGGAACATTTTTCCTTTCCATTAACCGATTTAACAATATGCCTCTGGTACAAAGGAGCAGACAAATGACTCCATCTTCCGATATCTGAGCCCGGAGTGCAGGAAAATGCCACAGGAGTCACGCTGGCTGTTTCCTTTTCCATTTCACCCGGGTTACTTCATCTTGGCTTTTAAAATGCAACAGAGCCTGAGCTTGGTGCCAATGCCAGGGACTCTGATCCCGTCAAACCTCCCTCAGCAGGTCACTCACGATCATTATGTGATTCCCACCATCCCCCAGGTACCACAATATATGTGTGTGTGTGTGTGTGTGTGTGTGTGTGTGTGTGTGTACGCGTGTGTAAGGGGTTTTGTAAACAGTAGGCAGGCCACACGAGAGATTTTCAGACATTCATTCCCCGGGCCTCCCGGGTGCCAGCCTGTGGGGACAGAGTGCACCCCACAACCCTGGGCCCTCCAGGGCTGGGCTGCCATCTGGCCAGCAGTGGGCGCTGTCCCACGTTTCCAAGGCCCAGTGTGGAGTCTCTACCCTAACGGAGCTTACAAGGCAGGACCCTATTAAATAGAATCAGCATTGATAATGCTTTTCCCTTTCATCATCCCAGACAAGCTAGAAATTCTCCTTTTCTCTCCCTCGGTGAAGGCTTTTAAAAAAATCAATAACTACTCTCCACCTAAGAAAGATAAAACCCAGATTCTAGCTGTAAGCAGGGGTAGGGAGCTCCCATTCCATTAGGGCACCTAGGCGGGTGGCGTCGGACTCAGACTAAGAATAGAGGCAGAGCCTGTTCAGTTAGGCTCCAGCCTTTCTCCCCTTCCTTCGCTTCCGCTCGTGCTGAGGGAGGCCGTGGAGAGGACATGGCTGCTGACTGGCCGGAGAGCTGGACCCGGCAATGAGGCTCCCTGCCTTCCCCGTCCCTGGGATGTGCGCTCTGCCTGCCCTCCTGCTCCCAGCAGCTCCTGAAGGGCGCAGCCCTGAGACAGAGACGTGACTGAGTCCACTCAGGGCCTCTGGAGGACACGGTGGGAAACACTCAGCCTGTGGCAGCCCAACAGCCTCGTAAGGAGGAGGTTCTCCGCTCGGTGAGCCTGCCTCCTGGCCTCCGAGGCGGCCTCTCTCTTTGCTCTCTCCCTGCCCCGAGAAAGGGCTGGTTTCAGATTCCACTCGGGAACCTCCCAGGAGGTTGTGAAGCAACAGCCAGAAGCCTTCCCTTAGCTGAGATGTGGTAAAAAATGAAAGACGTGAAGAGTGTTTGCTGCTCCATGTACCCCGATCCACCTCACAATCCTCTGTTTAGTCTGGGTTTCTAACAGGTTACAGACAGATTATTAATAATGCAGCACTTTTAACAGAGTACCGTGGCCCAGAGGAAAAGGTAATGTTATACATTTGACATTTCACTTAAAAATTTTCCTTAGGACTAAAAGATTTCATTATGACAGATTAATTTCAAATATACTTTATTAAACCTGACTGCCAATTAAAGCCTAAGCAATGATAAAGAAACTGGACAATTGATATTCAACCAGATATTATTTTTCCAGAAACATTGACATATCCTTTTTCTTTAACATTTTTAAATCTCCAGTAAAAAATAATTGCAATGAGACATTATTCTGTTTTCTGTAAGAACTGGTGGAGGACAGAAAAGGGTTGGGTGTGTATATAAGAATTTGCCAGTTTCATCAGCAAGGCAGTACTAAATAACTAATACTGAGGCTTACCACTCAGATAACTTCCTGGTTAAAAATAGTTGTTGAGATAGGTGATAACTGGGCAATTTTTACATTGACAACCGAGACAAAACTACAAACTGTCAGTTAATGTTTAGGAACCCGGAACCAATTTCTCAAAATACTATGTTTACTACCCATGATGCCCTCGCCCTTATTTGAGCACAGCTGTGCCTTTCCACGTTCTCCCATCGGCCGCTGGCTTCTTGCTCGGCGTGAGCATTACAGGCTGCAGGTGAGGCAGGCGCATCGGGAGCCGGGCGGTCAGACCGGCTCCGGGGCAGCGGCCAGCCCGGCACTGCGGGGTCTGAGGCAGGAGCGAGTGTCAGGTCCCAACAGCCACGACGGACAGGAGAGACTGCTGAAACCCCCGCCATGAGGGGCCCGGCTGTACCGCTGCTGTACGGATCTGCCACCAGCCTTCTCCATCTCCGGCTGTTACAGACTCTTCAGGTACAGACCTTGCCTTCAACCGTTCCAGTCACACCCAGAGTTCTTCCCGGGATCTCCTCCATACGGAGAAGGCATCCACATCATCATTTTAAACCGTCTCCCAACTTTGGGGAAAATTTATCCGCCCAACACGATACACGTGAGCACGAGCGGCCACGTGAAGTCTACAGCGAACTCGGGCCGTGGGACAGCGGCGTGGAGCGCCCGCGAGGAGCGCCCTCCTGCCGCCGCCTCCGACAGCCGCGGGGAGTCCCCGCCGCGCTCCTCTCATTTGGACTTCAGTGCTTCCTCCCACTCCACGGCAGGCTGGGCGTTCTTGGGGATTGCTGGGAATATCGACTGCATTTTGCTTCGGAAGTCCTTCATCTGAAAGAAAGAAGTTCATCATCAGACGTTAACGGCAGGGAAAGAGCCGCGGCTGTCGGCGGGAGGGAACTTGGCTGCTCGAGGCACCGAGCGCTGAAGACCAAGGACAGGTAAGAAGCCACCCAGCGCCTCCGAAGAGGAGGGACACTGTTCTCCTAAGTGTAAACCTTTTGGGCCTTTAATAACATAAAACTCCTGACTCTGGGCAGCACCAGCTCCCACTGTCCACTGCCTGACAGGGACCCCAGGAGGAAGGGGGTATGCTGGCTTTCACCGGGAAAGAGCGGCCGAGAGCCAGCACTGCCCACCTGAGTCCATGAAAACACTCCGTCGGTCCCAGTTAGAAGAATCTTAGAGCCAGAGAGGAGTGGAGAGAAGACTTAGGGAGCTAATGGAATGATCAGGAGCTGGGTGTTTGTATGCGCCAGTGTGGGAAGATCAGGCGGGGGTTACCGGGGGCTGATTTGGAATCCGGGAGCGGGAGCAGGAAAGTGGAAGGTCTTAATTCCAGGGTCAACCTGGGGCACCCGGCTCACCTACAGGGCCCACCACCCTCAGGGCCGGGACACTCGTTTATGGGAGCTGGGTACGTTTTACACTGCAGAGTACCAGCTGCATGCTTTTGGTTCCTTCCTTTGTATCTGCATGGTCCCGCTGTCGGGATATTTCATCGCCCCCCCCTGTAGCCAAGGCTGCAGACCTCCCGTGGGGTGTGCGTGCGCCCGGGACCCAGCAGCCTGCACTCATTTCCTTGTTATCTTGGGGGCCAACTAACTTCTTTGTAAGGTGATGCTTACTTATTCCATGGGAACCTGACTCCTCACTTTGCTTCCAAACTCGGGGTGTGTGTCTTGTGTGGGACCTGTCAATGCCTGGCACCCTGTGAGCCCACAGGCTGACAGGCCTCTGTGCAAGCCCACGCCACCGCCTGGGAGAGCTGCTGAGCTGAGCAGCTGTCTCCGGGTGTGTGGGTGGCCGTAGCTGCTGCCTCCAGGGCTGTGAGGAGTGAGTGAGATAATACGTACAAGCACAGCGCCGAACACTTAAGTGCTCAATATAATTAGCGACTGCCGTTACAGCACCATCAGAACACATGTGCCATGTTCCAAGAACAAAGCTCATATGGATATAAACATTATGGTGTGTTTATTAAAAGTATTTTATAGTTACATGTCATTCTGGTTTAAGTATTGAACACCAGAACTGTGGTCGGCAAACTTTGGCTCTTTGGCCCCTTGAGTGGCTCTTCCACAGAATACCACGGCCTGGGCGAGTCTATGTTGAAGAAGTGGCGCTAGAAGAAGTTTAAGTTTAAAGAATTGGACTCCCAAAAGAAATGTCAATCCCTGTCCTGTTGACATTTGGCCCTGTTGACGAATGAGTTTGCCGACCACTGCACTAGAAGATACATAAGGCTGTCCATTATAGCAGTCCGTGGCAGCCGCGGCAGTGTCGGGTCCGAGACACCAATCTGGAGACACCATGGGATGCCGCGCCCCTCCGTGCAGCTCTCATTCCTGTGATGATCCTCGCGAGAGGCTCTTATCCGGCAGGGCTGCACCCCTGGGAGGGCCTGGAAGGCAGGGTGTTTGGTTGTCACATCCCAGGGGACCCCGCTTTCATCTTGGAGGGCGTGGGTGCCTCATGCCCAGGCGGCCCACAAACACCACATGCCCCTGCGGATGGGATGTGCGCCAGCCTCTCTCAGTTGAAGACAGACAGCTCTCTGGTTTGCAGTGTGCTGCCTGGTTCTTTCCTTTCACTTTTCTGGTTGCACATTTGTTACAACGAGGCCTGGTATGAGAGTTTTCTAATGGAGTGTCGGGCAGCCAGCACAGGCACAGAATCAGAATCAGCTACCGCTCCACCTTCTCGGTGATCTGGGGCAGGCCAGTGGCTGAGAAGGGGGATGCTGGGTGGCTGCCCTCACTCAGCATGGTTCTATTCCCATTTTCTGCTCATGGCCCGATTTTTTCTTTCTTTTCTCAAGTATCGCATTATTCATGTGTACCCGGGGTTCTACGTGAGTAACTGAGCCACTAGAAGAAACCATATTTCAGAAATAGCCCGCTGGGGACAGGCTTCGGAGCGGGGTGAAGGAGGGAGGCACCTGGGATAAGGACACCATTCAGCCCTCTCCTTGGATTTTGCGGCGGCAGAAATGGAAACCCGGAGTCCACATCTCATTACAAACAAGGCCGCAACTGCGTTAAACAATGGGACCCCATAGAAGGCTTTAAGGCTTATATGAGTTATATTGCATGCACGGTAAATGGAAACCTTCAGCTTTTCCACCTGGATCCCTTTCTGATACACCGTTCAGAGGAGGTGTAGGCCTTACCAGCGATACTCTTATCACAGCCCCACAGGACTCTGCTGCGTTAAGAGTGTGCTTAAAACAGTTTGGGCGTGGGTGCATTTTTACAAACTTGGTTATCAATATACTGAATTCCATGATCACAATCACAGCCATTGCCATAGAACTATCCCTACTCTATACCCCAAAAGCTTGCTGAAGATGGGGCATGCTGGGAACTGGTGTCTCCATCCTGCAGCTCAGTTTTACTCCAAACTCTGGATCTGCTCCCTGAGCAGGGAGAATTTCTGTGGCTCTGGCTCAGAGGGCTCCTTTGAGCACGGCTGTCGCGCACTGCACAGTCCAGTGCTCGCCGCGGACAACGGCACTCCCTGGGCACTGAGCCTGCTGCTCCCAGTGCCCTCTCAGGTCCCAGTGTTTGCGCTGGGCTCTACCATTGTCAGAAAACACAGTGTCCGAGGCAGCAGTTCTCAAATGGAGTGTCATGACAACTGGTAATCTGTCACTAATCTGGACGTTCTGAAGACTGGATACAATAGACTCTTTAGACATTAGAACAGATTCAAGACTACATCTCTAATAATGTCACTCGCACTCACATTCCAGTAGCTTCCGGAAGGGCCAGGAGTGGGCACAGGCTGTGCTGTATGTTTACCATGTGTGTCCTGGTGGGGAAAACCAGTGTGAAAACTTTCCGTCTAAAATGCGGTATGCTGCCCTAGCTGGTTTGGCTCAGTGGATAGAATGTTGGCCTGCGGACTGAAGGGTCCCGGGTTCAATTTGGGTCAAGGGCACATTTAACTACAGGTGTTTCGGGCTCGATCCCCAGTAGAGGGCATGCAGGAGGCAGCCAATCATTAATTCTCTCTCATCATTGATGTTTCTCTCTCTTCCTCTCATTTCCTCTTTAAAATCAATAAAAATATTTAAAAAAAAATAAAATGTGGTATGCCGAGAAATTACCTAAAAGCTTCAGGATACAAATAAGCCAGTCAGAGAAAGAGAAATACCATGAACAAATAAATTGATGAACAAAAGAGAAACAGAGCCATAGATACATGCAACGGTGTGACAGAGGTCAGAGGGACGAGGGAGGGGGAACTGGATAAAGGAGCTAAAGAAAGGAGACACTGAACATATATGCACAGCCCATGGACACAGACAACAAGGTGGTGACGGCCAGGGCCAGGTGGCGGGGCTGGGTGGAGGTGGGCAAAGTCAGGGAGATGGTGGACATCTGTAATAATGTCAACAATAAAAGAAAGCTTCAGGATATGTCCCTGATTTAATTAATTTCATAAAATCCTTACATTATTGAGTCTAATAAATAGATAGTTAATGGGATTAAAGGTTCCAAGTAGTAAAGTGCCTTTGCCATTGACCAGCTTGTTTGCAGGTCGGCCTCAGTGCTGCGTTAGAATGATGAAAGATTTATACGATCAGAGCCTTTGGGCATGTCAATAATTACAGTACCAATGGTAATTTTGAAGACCTTGGAAATCCAGCCTCTTCATAAACTAAAACAGAATAAGACTATAAATGTTACCTCAATAAGAATAATAATGTCTGTCATCTGGGATCACCTACGAGGCAGGCACCGTACCGAGAATCAGATGATTATGTATCCTTTACAATCCTATGGGGCAGCAATGAGGACTGTCAGTTTACACGGAGAAACCAGGGACTAGAGAGGTCAACCCATTATTGGTGACATGCTTGACTGACGTCCAGAGCTCTTTCTTGACAGTCAGTCACTCTGGTCCTGTGACCTGGGAAGACACAGTACTATAGCCTCTACTATGAACTTCACTAGAGATGACTATACATAGATGCCTCATGTACTGGTGACCATTTTATATGGGATGGCATGCAGATTATCACCCATGTTCACCAAGAGCCTTACTCATTTACTCATGGAAACAGAGGGGTTAGATTTCTCTACCTTTTTGAAGTTAGGTAACCATGTGACCAGTTCTGGCAGGTGAAATGCAATAGACATGTGTGTCACTTGCGGGATGAAGCATTTAACTACAGGTGTTTGATTCTCCGGCCTCTCTTCCCTTTCCGCAGCAAGCATGCAAACCTGTGCTGCCAGATTGGGCCACCTGAGATACTCAGCCAGCTAATGAAGGACAGCTTCCCTAGAGTCGTGTAAGCCCACAGTGGATGTTACATGAGACAGAAGTAAACCTTCAAGCTGCACACTTGGAGACTGTTTTTTAGTGCAGCATAACCCAACATATCCTGACATTAATGATGAAGAGAATTATAAAAAAGACACGAGACATGCTCTGATGCTATTCAATAGGACATTAACTTAGCTAAAACAAGGCCTGGACCAAGGAGGGAAGGAACTGTGCAGTTGAGCTTAAAGAACTCTTATAACTATCTGGAACAAATGAACCCGCACTCTGCCCACCTTCAGGATGCTCAGTACATCAATCAGTCCCATTATGATACTAGAGGCCCGGGGCATGAATTTCTGCACCAGTGGGGTCCCTTGGCCTGGCCTGCGAGATAGGAATGAAACCAGCTCTCCAACATCCCCCAAGGAGTCCCAGACTATGAGTGGGCCAGGCCAATGGACCCCACCAGTGCATGATCGGGGCCGGGGAGGGATGTGGGAGGTTGGCCGGCCGGGGAGGGACCATGGGAGAGCTCCAGGGCATATCTGGCCTGTCTCAGTCCTAATTGACTGGACCCCAGCAGCAAGCTAACCTACCGGTCAGAGCGTCTACCCCCTTGTGGTCAGTGCACGTCATAGCGGGCAGTTGAGCAGCCTTACCATATCATTAGCATATTATGCTTTGATTGATTGAACAGCCGACCGGACACTTAGCATGTTAGGTTTTTATTATATAAGATTGCTTCCTAGGGAATCAGAACACTTCTAGATGTTGTCAATGATAATCAGCTTAACAATAACCCACAACCTTCGGACCAACTGTTGTCAATGAAATAGTAAGGGAACTCGGATGGTAGAGTCATCTTGCGGAGCAGATCACTGTCCTATATCTACATGATTAAATTCAACTGAGGAGAACTGGTTCAGTTTAGAGACAGATGCTGGTACTCTTCACTTTTGCTTAGGCCTGCTGATATCCACATGGGTCCTAAGATATACCATATTATTTATTTACTACCCAATTGCATTAGGAAAGCTAACATGAATACAAAAATCTCAACTTTCTATTTTCTAAGTTATAGTGCTATCATTTAGGTAAAGGTCAGACAAGCCCCTTTACTTTCTCCTAAATGCTCACTGTATCACATGTATAAAGTCTAAAATCTGTAGTAAAGTCCATTGATTTAGGAATAAAAATGAAAAGTGTAACTTTTTGAGATATACAACCCCTGAAGTACTCACTGAAATGGCTAATTTTTATGACAGCGATTGACAACAGGGCACAATTCCAAAGCAAAAGCCTCCCGTTAATGTAAGGAAACTGAGCGACAGGGACGACCCTGGAGAGTGTGAGGGCCAGGGCCACGCTGCCGCTAAGACTCAGCCCAATAAGAACAATTTATAGCCTGCACCTTGATTTAAGGTGCTAACAGGTCAGGTTCTCAGAGGTAATTCTGAAATGATCTGTCAAGCTTTATTTTTTAGTAGCTGCAAAATTTTAGAATGTTTCTCTGCCAAATAAATGATAGTAATTGTACCACCTCTGACTGTCAAGCCTCTTCCTAAAAGCTTTGTTTTACTGCGTTAAACACTTCGTAACAGCTACCAACCTGATCACTATTATTTCCATAGTTTAACCTCATGATGCCAATACTTCATTGGCACAGCACTCACACCACACACACACACACACACACACACACAGGACTATTCCATGATGTCCTTTTAAAGGCCCTGTGGATAGACTGTCAGAGGGGAATGAAGGCAGCAGATGGCTCCATTACAAAAAGTACTTCTGTACATTTATTTTTCACTGTAGAGTTATAACTTAAAAAACAGTATGTAAAAAATAATACATAAGCTAGTCAGAATGAAAGAATTAACATGTATTTAATGAAAATAATAAATTTCTACAACACAATAAACACCTACACCCCACATTCTTTTGGACCAAGTGGCAACTACATATAAATTTAAGTATTGCTATATTAGTGGTAGGAAAAGAACACATCTTTGATGCAGTCACTTAGGAACCGCTAACTACACAAAACCTGGGTGTTAAATTTTAACAGATCTGGGGGGTTACATAAATGGGGGAATCAGTCGCTCTACCCCTTTCCTCTTTCCAACTTTCAGGAATCCAAGTTCATTAACATATCTGACACATACACCCCACAATAACGGTCTCTTCTCCGGGAACTTCGGAGCGGCAGTTCGCACAGCGTCACACCTTGAGGGTCTTCTGAATCCCCCAGAGTGTCTCCGCACTCTTCTTCAGCTGAGCCTCCTCCTCGGGGGTCAGCCGGACCTTTATGAGGTCGGTGATCCCGTTCCCGCCCAGGACACAGGGCACGCTGAGGGCCACCTCCTCCTTGATGCCGTAGAGGCCCTTGACGATGGTGGACACCGGGTGCACCCGCCGCAGGTTCTTCAGGATGCTCTCCGCGAGGTCGACCACGGACAGGCCGATGGCCCAGGAGGTGTAGCCCTTCATCTTGATGATCTGGTAGGCGCTGGCGATCACGTCCTTGTGCACGTGCTTCCAGTGCTCGGGGTCCCGGTCGGTGGCGAGGTCGGGGTTCAGGTCCCTGAGCAGCACGCCCGCCACGTTGACGCCGCTCCACACGGGCACGCTCGAGTCGCCGTGCTCGCCCAGCACCCAGCCGTGGCAGCTGTCGGGGTGGATGCCCAGCTTCTGGCCGATGAGGAAGCGGAAGCGGGCCGTGTCCAGGTTGCAGCCGCTGCCGATGACCTGGCCCTTGGGCAGGCCGCTCAGCTTCCAGGTCACGTAGGTGAGGATGTCCACCGGGTTGGAGACGACGATCAGCTTGCACTTGGGGCTGTAGGCCATGATGTCGGCGATCATCTGCCTGAAGATGACCACGTTCCGCTGCACCAGGTTGAGGCGCGTCTCGCCCTTCTCCTGGCGCACCCCCGCCGTGACCACCACCAGGCTGGAGTTCTCGGTGACGCGGTAGTCCTTGCTGGCCACGATGTGCGGCATCTTCGCGAAGGAGGTGCCGTGCTGGAGGTCCATCGTCTCGCCCTTCAGCCGGTCCTCGGCCACGTCCACCAGCACCAGCTGGTCGCTCAGGCCCCGCAGCAGGACGCTCACGGCGCAGGCCATGCCCACCGAGCCGGCTCCCACGATGGAGATCTTATTGGTAGGGATGGGCTCCGTGGAAGTCAAGTTCTTCATCAGCTCCGCCTTGATGGTCGCCATCCCAGACGCGGGGGTCACGGAGCTCGGACCCCGGAGGGGGGCGCCAGCGGGCGGGCGGGGCCCCGGCGCCCCCAGGCCCAGGAAGCGCGCTCTCGCAGCGCCCGCTCTCCGGCCGGCCCAGCCGGCCCCCACGGCCCAGCCCGTGGCCATTCCCTCGGGAGCGGAGGGAGAAGGTGCGGGAAGGCGGCGGGAAGGTTTGACGAAGGAAGGGCTTGTGCCCCTGGCCGCCGCCTCAGCCTGCTACTGCGCCTGCGCGAGGCCGTGGGCCGTTAGGGCGTTGAACTGCGCCTGCGCGAGGCCGTGGGCCGTTAGACACCCCCTCGGCGTTGAACTGCGCCTGCGCGAGGCTGTGGCTAGTTGACGCCTCCTCAAGCTTGGGGCCCCAGCTTGCAAGACCTCACGACGGTTTCCACAAAATACTTCTTCTTGAATTCAAGTTTTACAAACGACAATTCTCTTCAATATTTAATGTGTCCAATTGGCCAACTCAGACGTTGTATTTCCAGTATGCATGCCAAGTAAAAATGCTTCCCTTAAGCAGAGATGGAAACAAGGTTACATTTTCTGAACTGTGAGGAGGAAGGGCCTGTGCAGTGTCTCCTGGGGCCCCCTGCACCATTTCTGGCATCCGCAGAAGTGGGGATCCTGTTCCAGGTCACAGCCAGTCTGAGAACCTTCTGGGAAGAATTCCATTGTCTTCATGTCAGTCACGACCCTGATCCACCACCGTGGGGAAGTCACAGGACAACCAGGGTAAGGGGACCACCATGCGCTGGTCCAAAACTCACAGGGAGAGGTTGTTGCTTTTTGTGCCAAAGGGAAGTTTGTGATGGAGAGTCCTGATTAAAAACTATTTCTCAAGTACAAAGGCATAGCTTCTAAGAATGAAAATATACCATAAATGTCCTTAAAGTGGCAAATTTTAACCCATGCACAAAGATCACTGATAAAAGCAGTAAAATAAAATACGGTTGACCCTTGAACAACGGTTTAACTGTGCCCACTCTAAGGGTTTTCCTCAGTTAACCCCCACAGTTCACACCTGCACTGTCCAAGGGTCAACTCTATCTGCCAGTACAACAGGACCCAGCGTGTCTTACCCTCCGCTGCATTTCTCTGGTTATTCCATGAACTTCCTTTTATGTTTCTCAGGACATAAAAGCTTTACATCTGATGAAATATAAATCCTAATAAACCCAATAAACGAAAAAAGTCCAAATAAAAATATTGGTACTGCCCACTTATTAACAGAATTATGACCACATAAAGCTCTCCTTTCCTCCGAAGAGAGCAAGGTGCTCTTTCCTAATGGGGCTCTTGGTACACGCAGCGAGCTCCCTCTCAGTCAGCAAACAAAACATGGGCCTAGCCAGTGGCCATGGACAACGGGGGAGGAGGGGCATATCTAGGGAGGGGTTTGGGATGGGAATGGGGGAATAAGGACAATTATGTGAGACCATAATCAATAAAAAAATAAATAAAAGGTCTAAAACTTAAAAAAAAAAAAAAAAAGATTTGTTTTAGAATACCAAGCCTTGGCAAAATGAGTATTTTATATGGGGATGTACAAAGCTATTCTCATTCTTCCTGCCACTGAAATGTAGCCCAAAAAGAGAGGGGAAATAAGCAAAGAAGTGGTGAGGGGAGGGAACAGTGTGGCAATTAGCAGAGTTCTTGCAAACCTGTTAGTGTGACCTCCTGGCACCTGGGCAGGGAGCAGAGCGCCTGTGTAAGTGGTTCAATCACAATAAGCTCTGGGACACAGAAACGGTAAGAGCGCCACATATGTGATTTCTCTCCACACTGGTGGTTATTTTTATAGCAGCCATTTGTCAAATTAAAAACTGGAAAATTGTTAACTGATCTTGACTTAATGGTGGCCAGTATTTTAGAGTGATCCTTTTAAAAGACCAGCTTCTGATAGCTATATTTTCTTTGATTCCAGCTATAACTTGAAATGTTTTAACCTAACGCCTGTTCCCACCTTCTTCCTATAATGACGCCTTTGACCAGCCAAATCATTTTCTAAGATAAGTGTTCTTGAGGATGAAATTCAAGGACATAAAGACTTTTAGCTAGATGGCTTCTTTCTACAGTAATTTTCTTTGTCGAACGTGAACCTCTTTGGAAATACAATCTCTATGAGAGCTGCCTCTTCAGTGTTCCCCCTTAACCATAACTAAATTAATTTTGAGGAAAAACTAACGCTCTCCAAGATAAAATACCTCAAACCAAGCAGTTTTTTATGTACAATAAGTCTTGAGATAAGAAGGAAAGAACTAAGGAAGACGAGGAAATGTACATGACCTCCACAGCAAATTTAGGTCTGCTCAAAGACGTGGGAAGCCAAATATAACCAGGCAAGCTCCCTGCTCTAATGACCTTCTGTCTGAGGTGGCTCATTATTCCTTTTGAATGAAAAACTTAACTCAAATGGTCTATTCAAAATGCAGTACAATATTACAGCTGACGGAAGGACTGTGTCACAGTATTTTGGGTTACACCACTTAAGAGGAATGAAGCAAGAGATAAAGATGACTATCAAGTCTCTGGACCAAGAATGACCACAATTAAGTCATTCTGTTCCTTCCACCCTGACACTCACCCCCATCTCCCCTGCTCTTTTTCTATCGAGGAGTCCCGTTCAAATACAGATACTCCTGGACTTACGATGGGGGTTATGCCCTGATAAATCTATTATATGTTGAAAATATAAGAGGGCAATAGCCCACCAAAAACGTGCTGAAGCACATACATTAGTTCCAGCTGGGCAAAGTCATCTCACTGCCACTGTTTACACACAGGAGAGTGTTGTACTGTATAGCCCTAGCCGGGGAAAAGGATAAAATTCACAATCTGAAGTACAATTTCTACTGAATGCGTTATCACTTTAGCACCACCATGAAGTCAAACTACTCTAAGTTGCAGATTGTCTATATTCCATCTTCTCCTAACTTTTCTACAATGCCCAAGCAGAATTGACTTTTTAAAATCCTGCACCACCAAAGCACTTTGTACCTCTCTGTGTGATAGGATTTATCACACACAATTAAGTGTAACCCAAAAGGGATCACCTTTTTGTACCAGCATATCCCTGTCCTCCATGCACAGGAGCTCAGTAACAATGTGGTAGGAAAGAATAAGTGAATAACTAGAAAACTGAGTAACATGAGGCCAGAGACTAAAAGGTGAGAGAGAGATGGAAAGACATTGAAGAAAGGAGCAGGTTAAACATACAGGTGTCTATTTGGGGTTTCTTAGCAAGAAATTTGATGCACAAATTTCAAATGAAGCTATTGATGAGCTAAAGATTTCTTAACTATTCTCAAAGCCAACACCTACCTTTACCAAGTTTGAACATACAAAAAAATTAAGAGAAAAGAATGTCCAGAGTGCTAGGAACAAGGAAATCAATGGCAGAGAGAATATTTTTAACCTTTAGAGTTACTTAAAATGTTTTGTTCTTTGGAAAGCTTTAAAAAACAATCTATGCACAAAACTCTCGATTTGCAAAAAAAAAAAAAAAAAAGGAATGAGAGCAATGTTAATTAATATTACAAGCTAATCTAAAATAGCTTATAAACTCATCAGCATGTAAGTAGGGCATTATATAAACAATTGTAAAATTCTTTGTGACTTGAAAGTCATAAAATGTAAATTGTAGTTTTCAAACAAATTAGAGAGCTGTAATTCTACTGCTCATAGATACCATGTAATCTTTGTGTAGGCTCTTTACAAATCCCAGCACTGACAGTATTTTCCTTGGCAACAGCACTGAGAACGCAGGGAGGGACAAAAGCAGGGCCACAAAGCTTTGTCTCCTGAACAGAATAAAAGCAAACTGTCAGATATGAAAGCTCCACTGGGGTCAATGTTCTCTTTATGGTATTCAAATAGTATAACATGAAGAGGCAAGCTCTAATAATTCCCCAAATCTCAGTTTTGTTCTTTAAAGATATCATCTTACACATAATTTTGGTGCAGTGCAAAACCCCTTGTATTAATCATTAAACATGAGAAATTATTATAAAATTCATTAGTATGTGTGTAAACATTCCAAATCCTATCTAAAAACTGAGAAACTTTACCTACAGGGTTTAACTGCTTAGGTATTTTATTACCCTATTTATTTCCTGCCAGTGGAGTAAGTAACAGTAGTGCTGTAGTCCTCGGTAACAACAGCTTTATTCATCTAAAACAAGTGACATGAAGAATATCGTTGTTACTTTCAATTTGAGGTAGAGACTGAAGTTACCTTTATGGACTCCGAAATGCCCAACCAGATTAGCTCCATGCTGTAAAGTCTCTGCCTGAGACTTCTAGGCAGAGAACGGAGTGGGCAGTGGGGAGGAGTGCTCCAGGTGGGGAGGACATGGCCCTCAGCACGGCTAGGACTGAGTGTGACAGGCTCCCAACCCAACTGCTGCCATCGGGACAGGCCATTCGCGTGGCCTGTCCTGCAGGCTGTTTAGCCTCTGTCCACTAGATGCCAGTAGCACCCCTGCAGTTCTAACAGCCAAAAACATGTCCAGGCGGTGCCCAGCGTCTACCTCTTGGGGGCAGGGGAGGCGGCCACGTGGACCTTTGCCGGCGGGGACATGAACAGCGGTGAGCGGTGCAGATGCGGGGGGCGGGGGGGAACGGAAGCCCAGGACATTCCGCAGCGGCCGGAGAGGCCTGCAGAGAGGCAGGGCGGAGGCAGGGCGCACAGAGATTGGTGCGATAACCATGGGCAGGAAGCTGCTCTCATCATGGCTGTGGGTAGGGGAGTAGCAAGGCGTGGTGCCCAGTCAGACACGACTGGGGAGAGTGTGGCCGCGAGGAGAGTCCGCCGTGCTCTCTAGGCGGCGCTGGATGATGCCGCCATGCGCTGTGACCCGGGAGAGGCGGGGAGGAAATGACAGTTCAGTGGGAACACGCGTGATGCTGGGAGGACACCCGAGCATCAGTGTCCAGAGCTCAGGAGTCTGGGCAGGGGAGTGGCAGTTGTCTGCACGTGGACGAAACCAACAGCGTGTATGGGACCATGAAAGAGAAAACAGGAATCAGCAGGGCTCCCAGCATACTGGGTGCAAAGGGAAGCGGCAGCACTTCAGAAGCAAACGCGATACTGGGAAGTGAAAAACAGGAGCCAACAGGATCGTGAAAACTTACCAAAAGATAAACTATAAACACTCAGAATCTGTGAGCACAAGAAGCAAACAATAGCTGATACAACTGAATCATCATGACACACGTTCAGCGCAAATTTCCCTGTGGGAAGACATACAGCACATTTAAAAAATGTCTTCTCAAATTTAGAAATATTTCACCCAGGAAAATTCAATCTGAGAGAACACCTCCATTTTCTGACACAGGGTAAATGAATAACAATATGGAAGTACATAAACATACATGATCTTTTCCATAGTTTTAGATATTCGAAAGTGACTAGCCGATACCAGGTGCCTTTTATTACAAAGCTTGAGGGGAAGGCAGAGGCTGCAGGCATTCAGGACGCTTCAGTTGGAGACCTGTATCCCATCGGTATGC